TTTTTTTTTTTTTGTTTTTTTTTTTGTTTTTTTTTTTGTTTTTATGTAGGATCAGGATACCAGTAGGCAATTTAAAACTTTTATTTTCTGCCTCTGACACTAGACAATGTGCTGTTTGCAGTGATTTGAGTTCCTGCTTGCTAATTTCAGATGCTATTTACCTCTGTCTGTGATTTTTAAGATTAACATGTATAACTTTTCTTTAGCATTCTTTACTTTAATAATTAGTATACGGTTTATGATTTTAAAAAATGACAGGAAGTAGAAAAATTGCCAGATCTAGTGGGAATTTCTCACTGTTTTCATTTTTACAAAATATTCAAATGATCACAGTAGATCAAGACTCAAGCAACAAAAGAAAACGACTCTGGTGTTTTGCTGTTAATGAATTTAATTTTTGTCTTAATTTTGGGGAATGGAGAAAATGTGCATACATTAAGATGTTAACTTGCAAAACCCATCACACTTATTAAATACTTCTCTGTTCTGTAATTTTCAAAACAGAGCAATTTCATTCAATGTGTTTATATACCTGTGTTGATTCTGTACTTCCTTCATTTAATGTCATCCTAGAGAGAAATCTGTGAGTAAATCTTAAACTACGGAAAAAAAAATTTGTCTCTGGATGACTCTCTATGGGCTGGCAATAAAGCTCTCATATCCCCCATTACAACCAGAAAATCGTATAGTTACTTTCAAAACTTCACTGAATATAGAATGAGTTTATAGATGCTACCTTCCAAATTGCCAGGTGATTTTGCATAAACATGCCATTATAATATTTTCCAGAATATATATGTTTTAACAAATATTTGTCTCGTGTGTTGTTTAAATTTGTGGCAATTATTTGCACTTTATTTTCATCAAAGGAATAGAGAACTAATAAACAAGACCCTCAAGGCTTGCTTGGAAAAGCTTGAAGGAACTATTGCCATTCCCCTGCTGGGCACGGTAACAAAAGCAGAATTGGGAAGCAGTAATCTTTATATAACTCAGGAGATTTGGCTGTTTTAAGAGAAACTCTAAGAGAAGTTTCTGACTGTTGGTAGAGAACAATAGCCGCCTTTTTGAAGAGTTTTCTTATTTTTTTAAGAATTCCCTGTGACTCTGCTGTGTGTACACCATATGTGTCAATACATGGTCCTTGAATAATAAAAGTTATGTTTCTGAGCCTGCGTTTGTAGAATTTTACTGAAAATTATTTTCAGATTACAGCTGTATGTATAAGTATTGAGCAGATTATAGCTGGATGAATGAGTATTAGCATCAGCATGTAATTGCAATTACAACTGAACACCTCCAACTGTAGGAGGCAACAAATTCTAGGTCAAAAGTCTGTTTAATATAAGTGTGTTCATAAATAATATGCATTCTATCAGTTTCTCTTCTCAGATGTAGTTACTGCTCTCTTTAACCTCTTGTGTACCCAGGAATACTCCAGACACTTGTGAAGAAGATCCAGTAACAGCCATCTGATCAGATTGATGGTGTTTCTGCTATGGGATTTCATCTCAGAATAACAATTGTGCTGAAGTACATGAAATAAAATTCTCAAACATCCTTCAGGCACCGAAATAAACAGTGACAGGAAATAGTCTCTCCTTTTTTCTTTGGTAAGAGATGATCTTAAAAAAAACCAGAACATTTTCACTTTTTCTGAATACAAATTCCCATTTTACTATGAATATGCTTTTTTCTATATTTATGAGAGTCAATAGCTCTTCTGACTGAGGTGAAGTTCAGAATCTGTGGAACTCACTACTACCATGTATTAACTGAAACCACACACTTACTTTTGGAACACACACATCCTTTATCAATTTCAGATGTTCTGCCTTTTGTCAAACTGCATATATTTTTAGTGCTGTTTTGAATATATATTTATATGTATCTTTCCTCCTTAATAAAAAATAAAATAAAAAATAAAGAAATCCCAAGGCAAAAGTTTTGAACACCATAAAAGAGAACTTCAGAAATAGTTTTCATTGTTATTCACCTTTCATCATTTAGTACAGGGATACCTGTTGAATACTATGAAGTATACATTGTAGTATATATCATACTATATGCTACATCATTTATTATTTTTTTGGTGGGTGTGGGAAATTAGTATTTTTCTCACTGTAACATCAGCCTTTTTTGGTTTGCTGGCTGAGGCATACTAGGAGCACTGTCTGAGCCTATACTTTTCCAACATTTTATTTTGCATCAACATGTGGATAATAGTTAAATTTTCTTTTACTCAATCCTTGATCTTCCCTTTTTTTTTTCTCCTAATAGTGCACAACACTCTCTCTGCATGACACACTGAATTCTTGATTAACATTAGTGAACCAGTGTGCAACTATTTGCACCACACAGCTGTAGAATCATCCTATCTTAATCTACCCTTTACTTTGAAACTGTTATTTAAGCCTATTCATTCAGTGACTGTAGAAACTTCTCAACAAATCTGCTAAAGTACCCCTGCCTGGTTTCCTTTGTGTTTGTGCAAAGAAATTTGAGTTTAATATGTTCTGCCATTTATTTCAACACTGTTGCCGGAAAACTTCAATGTTATGTGGGAAATCAGCAGTATCAAATCTAGTCTGTCAGTATTTCACATGGCAGAGGATACAGTTTCTTTGTTAACTTCTTCTGACAATAATGGAAATCCTATTTTCTTCTCCTACTCAGTTTCTTTCTAGTTCCAGAAGAAATTAAGTGAATTTAAACTTGTATGGTAGAATTGCATCAGGAGTTACCAAGTGGGTAATGTTTATTTTCATATCAAAGTGGGAAATACAGAATATCAAAGTGGGAAGTAAAGAGCTTCGTTTAGCAGAGAAGGAATGGTTTGAGGAAGACATGTAAGGAGCCTCTGAAGAATGCTGTGTATAACAGGTAGGAAGAAATGTCACGCTCAGGTATATAAGAAGTTGTGATAACTCTTATATAGATCTCGCAGTAGACCTGATTTCAACTTGCCTGCAACAGCTAACACCAAACAAAATTTTATTTAAGCCTCTCATGATGATCCTTCTGTAGGACAATGATGAGTCTTTCTGGTAATCATCTTTGACAGAGCCCTGTTTGTTAGCTGAACCAATGTAGCTGCTCTCAGATGAAAGGAATATCTAGGTAAACTCTAAGAAAGCTTTAGCCAACACAGGATGAACATGATCAATTCCTTTATGTTTAATCATTTTGGAGAAGGTTGATAGTATTTAGACTAAATTTGCAAAGGAGATCTTATAAAGGAAGTGAAACTATAGCGCTAGTACTGTTATTTGAAACAGAAAAATTGTGCTGGTAGAACAAAAGAAGGGCATGTCAGATCAATTCAGTGTGACATCCTGCCTCTTTTGTAAGTGCAAAAATCAATGGTTTGAGGTTGGTACTTACTAGTCCTATGAGAAGCCATTAGCATCAAGTGAAATATACTGTTATATAACGAGAATTGAAAATTAAGATTTGCTTATCTAGAAAATGAAAAGTAAAGTGCTTTTCCACATTGTAGTAGAACAGAAATTGTTTTTTTAGATGCTTTTTTTTCTTAATTTTACATAACATTTGCATAAGTCGGGAAAGCTATTTAATATTTCTCTTGTCTTTCATGTAACACAGTCAGTCAGCGATTTGAGGATGCTATGCATCTTTGTAGAAATAAACCAATATTTTATTCCTCTACTTTTGCATGGATGTTTCTCCATGCAACGATGGTGATGTTATTTCCATGATAATGCTGATGTCTAATTTTATAACAATAAAAAAGCTTTAATTTTAGAAAATGGGACTTGAAATTGCAACTATGATTTCCTTCCTCTGTCATGGGTCTTGGGTATGTTATCTGCCTTCTGGAACTGGAAGCAATTAATGTCTCGAAGTGTTAACTGAGATTTGTTTTGAGATCCTGCCTGGTGAAGCACATCAGTTTCAAATTTATCTTAGGTCTTCAGAGCATGGAGAAAACTCTTTAAGGGTAGAAGAAAGTACTTTGCTTTAATCCTTTGTAACTTGTTTATGTCGCAAGTTACATAAATAAGATCTGCGAGATGAAGGATGTGCAGGAAAGAGGTTTTATTCTGGGAGGGCAGAGGCTGGCCACTTGAACAGTCAGGGGTATGATGCCCCAACAGAAGCTGCAGTATCTGACAAGGTTGGGATCAGAGCCTGGATGCTTTCTGGTGCACACATTGCCCCTGTTCTCTTTCAAAAATACAGAGACATATGATGTCAGAAAAAATGTGTGGCTTGCATGTGTGCAATATTCTATGTATTGTACTTCAACACTATAGGATGTGAATCTATGCTTTTATTTTCTAAAGACTGATATCTGAAATTTGCAATTAAATAATGGAATTCTAGACACATGATTTATTCTACTATCAATCTTTCCTAGTTTGTCAGTATTTGAAGCATACTGTCTAACCACAACATGTTCTCAGTCAGGAGGTCATTGACTGTGTAAAACCTTCAATAAAATTTATTGGAATTTTGTATAAGATAAGAATTTTCCCTGTGTAAAAATGACAACCATGTGATTTAGTAGTACAGAAGGAGTTACCTGAATGCATGAGTTACAGATATTCATCTAGCAAAACAGTTCTGGAATATGCAAGTAAAAATGTTTGAAAGCAAAGATCATGCAGCGATCTCATGTTCAGACATTCTCCTGGTTACTGGAGTTCATTACTGCTTTTCTATAGAAAGTTGATGAGTATGGCCTTGTTTATCAGTTTCAGAGAACTGCTTTCTTAAAATGCATTGAATTATTATCAAATGTGAGCCTTTTCT